TATAATGATGATTAGGACGATTTTGTTTTCTTCTTTATATTCTTATGGTAATATTCTCTTAGATCGTATACCCGTATGTTGATAAGGCTCATTAAACGAAATATGATTGACGATCATCATATATTAATTGGAAACAGCTGTGATGATAGGAAAAAATATTAATTTTATCGAATCTTATCGTATTTTCCTATGACATCATTCTATAATTCATATGTATCAATATGAATAAATGTATTATTTTTGTTATTCTATCCAAAACAAAAATAATAACAAATGAAATATCACACGATTTTGTTTGGATAACCTCCTATAGACTATTTATTATTCTTAATATCTATTCGAGAATTAATTAATCAAAAACTTAAAGAGTAAATGATCGAAAATAATTGTCAAATATCTTTATTAATATATATATATAAAACATTTGTATTACAAATTATAAACACAATCTATTCATGCAAAAACCATCGATATGATAATTACAAAAAATCTGAATAATAAATATTCGGTTAAGAAAAGAAAAAAACAATTTTTTTGAAGTTTTAATATACTATTGTCATATATATTCTAAAATAAAATCTATTTATCTTACTCTGATTAATTATGTCAATAAATATGGAATATTCAAAGGTAAATAAAACCAGGTCATGGCAAAATTCTTTGAAGGAAGAAAAATTTGTAAGTGTGTGATATCTATGTAGGCGAAACTAGCGTCATAGTTGATAAAAAAAAAAACTACTTTTTAACCTTCATAGTGAAATTGATAGATATAAATTAATCTTTTAATGCAAGGATTGACGTGAAAATTATTTTTTTTAATAGGTTAATTTAATTAATCACTATATTCGATTATGTGATGGGCCAATCACGAGCATGATCTAATCTTTATTTCGATTGGTTCTATGTAACAATCAATTAGGATTTATTTATCACAGTTGTGTTGTTTTTTTATACCATGCGTTCAAAATTCTTGGCAACATGTCCTTATATTATATTTTCTTATTCGACGTCATTCCTATTCTATTTTTCTGCTGTTGTTGATTTTACTCATACATAATGTCGTCATTTAAAAATTATGTTCTTCCTATCGTGAAGTAACTAGTGCTTTTTTATATTACATAATTTCTATTATGCCTGTTCAATTCATTATTTTTTTGAACAAAATTTATTTAAATGAACAACTGACGTGTCATCTGTATATGATTATTAATTATTAATAGCTCTCGTTACTATAATTACTGTACTTTATATACATTTATATTATCAATGTATACAAAAATGTTAATTAGTTATTATACTACTTCTGATTTAAATAAAGGTAAACTCGTTTTTTATTTCATTCAGCGAACTAATAAGTATTTACCAATAGATATTATATTCTTATAAAATTTTATTTATTAAAATCATAGCATTAGAATTATTTGAATAGAAATTTTTTACGTTGCCAATCATTAAGCATGATTGTTGCTGCATTAAAACCTGGCATACCAGTGACACCTCCTGTATTAAATAGATAAATAAAAAAATATTTTTTTTGTTGTTGTAATCAGATAAATTTACCTCCTGGATGTGTTGAACTTCCGCATAGATAAAGACCTTGTATAGGAGTTCGATGATTTGAACATGAAACTGCTGGTCGAAATGAGTAGAGTTGATCAAGTGGAAGTGCACCATGAAAAATATTTCCACCTGTTAGAGAAAATTGTTCTTCTAAATCTGATGGAAAAAGCATATCACGTCCAATGATAAGTTTTTCAAATCCAGGTGCATATTGTTCAATTTCATTGATAACAGTTCGATAATAATTTTCTTTATATTCATCAGTTATCTCAATTTGTTTACCATTTGGTAAACGATATGGTGTATATTGTGTAAATAATAGAGCAACATGACAACCTTTTGGTGCTATAGTTGGATCAAGTGTTGAAGGAATAACCTAGATTAGAAAAAACATTAATCATTCCTATAGAGAATTTTTGTTTAATAAAAATACCATTTCGATCAATGGATGTTTACTTGGTTTTCCGTTTAATGCTTCTTGATAAGCAGTATGTAGATTAGGTATTGATTCACTATTCATATGTATTGTACATTGATGATGAGGTTGAAATTCATTGTTAGTTTTATTTGGATCAGCAAGAAAATTTCTGTAAATATAAAAGACGAAATTATTTTATAAATTTTTGAAATAATTAATTACGGTAATCCTGAAAGTGCAAGATTTATTTTTGTTGTTCCACTTGAATAATCCATTTGTAAAATATGTCTTTTTAATTCAACTAATTCAGCATTTGTTTGAATAACATCATTTAATATTAAATTTTTAAATGTCGTATAACCTGTTGCATTCGAAGCAACAATTTTTCCCTTAATTTCTTCCCCATTTTCGAGTACAACACCTTCAACTTTTGAATTACGTATATCAATATGCTTAACACTACAATTTGTACGTATTTCAACACCAGCAGCACGAGCAGATGATGCTATAGCATTACTCACACCACCCATTCCTCCTTGCACATAATACCAAGCATCTAAAAAAAATAAATTTTAAATTTTAAGTTCATTGATTTCCCTTGAGAAATATCGTATTGTTATAAATCTTTCGATACTGTAACCTTTAAAAAAGATTTATTTGCTCGTATAAATATATTTTTTTTTCGTTCTTTAAATTGACAGTTATTAATATCGTAATCGTGTTTCTTAAATAGCATGCGATTGGAAGGATTCAAACGAGTAATATAATTTGATCTGTATCAAAATCTTGTTATGATATTTTCATTTGTTGTTTATAGCATCATTTCTATTTTTATTTTTATTATGCGATGAAAAGATATGTCATGCCTAAATACATCGAGATGATATCTCAAGGAAAGATAAACATCTTAGAAATTGTAAGTTTTTATATTCTTAACAGTACCTTGTTAACCTTGATCGAAAAATGGTGCATGATGTGAATTTGTTTATTTGTATAGAATAGAATACATATAAGACGTTATGATTTTTAGTAATATATGCAATATAAAAACAAGTTTATCGCTAACAGAACCTATTATAGTAAGTCGATTCTACTTAGGTTATAATAAATTATGTCGTTCTCTGTGTTCTTATCTCTCTCTCTTGAACTGTGATATGATCAGTTAGAATGATTATTAACTTACTAGCTCGTCCATCTAAACCACCCATGACATGATGAAGTAGAATATAGCCAGTTCCTCTATCATAAGGACCGAGCATAGCACCAATAAGACCATCAGTAGCTAATGTAGCTTTGATAATATCGGATTCAAACCATTGATCTAATATTTTACTTGCCGATGAAGTTAATAGTTGATATAAATCCAGAGAACCTTTAAGACCAAGTTTTTGAAATAAGTTATAAAATATTCTCGCTGAATAATTATAAGCACGAAAACGATCCGATATTTTATTTTGTTTACTCATTTGTCCGAGATCAGCTGGAGGTGAATAGATTAATTCATCTAAAGCTCGACATATTTTTGTTAACCATTCTTCATATTTCGGAAATATTTCTGCATCTTTTTTTGAAAAATTTCCAAGTTGTTTCATATTAAATTGATTATCTGTCGAAGATAATAATAATGAACGTTGAGAATGATTCAATGGATTTTTTATTGGTGTGTACGAACATGGATCACGAAAATAATACTTTAAACCATGTTCACGTAAATTTAAATCATCAATTATTTTCGGACGAAATAAACTTAACAAATACGATGCACGAGAAAATTTAAAATCTTTTATTATTTCTTCTGTACATGCAGCACCACCAACAATCGCACGTTTTTCACATACAAGAACACGTAAACCTTGTCGAGCTAAATATGCTGAAGTAACAAGACCATTATGTCCTGCACCGACTATAATGACATCGTATGCCTTCTTCATTGTTATTCTGTTTGCGTTTTGTTTGAATATGTGGCTACTGTTTTATTCTATATCTTCTTATCAATATACCTTTTGGTTTTAGATAAACGATAAAAGAGAAAAAAAAATATTTGTCATGGTTATTACGAATGTTTATTAGATTCAATAAACAATCAAATGATGAGAAAGTGCAAACGAGCCATTCACCGGCAATTTGGTGGCGTAGGGAATTTTTTTGCAATGCTTATTCTAGTTGCAATCTCTGTTATTTTTATTAATACATTTGTTCTTACAAGACGAGATCGTATGTTTTGAAATCTATATATTACTTTTAATATTTATAATTATTTGAATTTTTTAGAATCTACAGATCAACCACATGAAAATTCACATAAAGTTGAATTAGTTCATAATCAAAATCATACAATAAAACCTCTTAAACCCGATCAAATTGAACCACAACGAATTCAAAGACCTGCTGCACCTGATGCTGGTAAATAAATAGATAAATATAGAATTCAAAATGAATAATTTATTTTTAGGATGTGAGATTGATGAAAAATGTTCAGATGATGCTATTCCATATAAAGTTGTTTCAGGTGATGGAATAGAAAAATATCCGATTATATGTTTTAATAACAAATTGTAAGTATTATTAAATATTGATAATCGGTATGCCATATTTATATTCTATAGACTATTACATAAAAATTTAAAAGATGCAAAAATTGGTCGTGGTGTTAATTTAGTCGCATTCGATGGTAAAACATATGATGTTAAATTAACAGAAACATTTGATACATATCTTGAAGGTAAAAATATTGAAGAAAGATTTGTTTTTGTACTTATTTATTATTTTTGATTAGAAACATTTTTTTTACGAACTCTTAAATTAAATTTAAATGATGGTGATATTATTATTCTTGCCAGTTTTGATGAAATGACATATGGGTGAGTAGACAAAAGACTAGAAATATTTTTTTCAAATTTTATTTTTAGATTAAAAGAAGCATCATTATCAATCTTAGAAAAATATGGTAGTCAGTTAATAAAAATTATTAAATTTCGTGATTCCTTTGTTATGATTGGACAAAAAGGACTTGCACGTGGAAAAGCCATTGAAACAGTAGGGTTTTCGAATAAGATTATCATTTAATAAACCTTATTTTATTTTTAGCATCAACCAAAAAGTAATCGTGATTTTGCTACTGCTGCACATATAAGTGGTTGTGCGAAATTTCCTTGTATGTTTCATAATAATTTGTACTTGTTTTTTTTTATATTTGATTGCTTTAGTGGGTCAAATAACAGCATTATCATTTCCAAGTTCAGAAATTAATAAAGAAGGAAAAATAGCTGTTGGTACATCAATAAAAAATTGTGGTTTAGTCGAAATGTGTAAAGAAAATGAATTTGCTGTACATGTTTATACTGGAAAAGATAAAGATGATGAACCAAAAATATGTGTAGATGGTAAATATGTTATGGCAAAAGGTATTAATGATGCTGGACGTGGTATAAATATTGTTGTTGTTTCCAATGGAAAAGAAGTTATTCGTACAGGTCATTTTGATACATGGCAAGAAGATAGTACAAATTTAGAAATCTTTCTTGAAAATCTTGAAGATAATGTTATCCTTATTGCAGTTACATTTGATGAAGCATCAACAAAGTAGGTTATTTTAGAAAACAAAATGTTCTATGTGCATGTTTAAGGATTATAAATATGATTTTATTATATTGTGTGTGTATATATATATTTATTTAGCTTACGAAATTTCACTCGAACTGTACTACAAGGTATTGGCAGTCAGAAAATAGGTTCACTCACTTTTCGTGATTCCTGGGCGCTTGTTCATCATTTCAAAACGAGCATCAATTATAACTTCGAAGAGGTGATAATTATGAGTTATATACATTTATATATTGTTGTTTTGACAGAGAATGAGTGAGCAGAATTTGCCGAATTTTCCCGTTATATATATATATATATATATGTATTTGAAGATGAAAACAAATGTACCATCTGTTGTTATTTTATCACCTTTTGTTTTCTATTTATGTATTTAGGCTTAGTCAGCACACTAGAAATCTTTTTTTTGATCTTGGCAGTGGAACTATACAAAATTTGAAATACCGCGATGTTTGGGCACTCGTGGGTCAAAAGGGCATCAAAGGTTTTAGCCCTTATGAAGAGGTTTGTCTTTAACTAAGCTTGTAAATGACTGTTGTACCAATCGACGAATAGGAAAATACACGCTTTTGTTGTGACAAATCATTCGTTCTTACCCTCGTATTTTTTCTAATAGAGTTAAAATACCTTTAATGGTGAACAATAATATTTCGAATATTATTATTATTATTTCTTTATTATTATAACGGGGAAATGGGATTCTGCTCAATCATTCATTAAATAATTAATATGCATGTTATGTTGTAACTAAGCTTTTGTTTATTATTTAATACTAATTTATACACATGCACGTGTGTTTAGATTTCATATGCAGGCAGTGGTAATGCTTATGCAACTCCAATTGACAAACGAATGTGTATACCACAAACATGTAAGTGATTAACGTTATCGATAGATGTGATACCTCTAATATATTCAGAAGAGTTGAAAGAGATTTTCGTCTAGACGATTAATATTTTACACACATAGACATTTCTTTTAGTTTCTAGTCTATGATAACTAATAGAATTTTACTAAGGAAATCAATCTTAAGACTCTTTAAATCTATAAAATACCTTTCATCATATAAATGAGTCTTTACGACTGGACTATCGTACCATCAAAATATAAGAATAGCTAACATAAGGACATTTGAACAATGCACACTTGCCTGAATTAAAGAACTATAATTTTCATATATATATGTATTTTTAGTGAAAGGAATTAAAATTCGACCTGACCCATTACCTTTTCGTAATGATAAACGTCGTGATTTTTGTTCACGTTATGATGGTTACGGAGACTTTTGTAGTGGTAAATATCTATACTTCATAATAATTCTTCGATGTACAATAAATGTTTCTTTTTTTAAAGATACCAATGTAGATAAAAGCTTAGCAACAGTTTCATTATTAAATAAAACCTTGGAAGACAATCCAATTTATTCGACACCAATTCTTGTCATAGCTGGTTTGTTTTTTATTTATTTATCATTGAATATTAATTTTGAATTTCTAGGAATATCTCATAATTCTCTACGTATGTGTCTAGAAACATTATTAATGCAACCAGGCATTCTTGTTGAAAATGTTATTGTATGTATTACATTTGATTATTAATAAATCTATCTATCGAATGATTTGTTAGGTTGCTGTTGATGAAAAATTTTCTGAATCACTTGCATTAATTGATCTATTTGGATTTCGAGGTGAAAAAACATCAAGTAGTTCAACATATATGGGTAATGATAACAAATAGAATAAAAAAAGTTTATAAAATAATTTCTTGTAGAACATTATGAAAAATCGTTGAATAAAGTTTGGGAACTTCATCCAAATAAAGTATTAAAACATCTAATTTTTAAATCTTTATTATCTAATTTTTTGTTGTAATTAGGATAAAGTGATTGTTATCGAAGAAGATCTTATTTTATCACCTGATTTTCTCTATACACTTGCATTACTAAGTGAAACATTTCGAAAAGATGATACCATAGGTGCAATACAAATGTGGAATCCTAATTGTAAGAATTTTTTTTGTTTTTATTAAATATCTGACTTGTATTTTATTTAGCTTATGATAATGTCAATGGTTCAATTGATTTAATCTATCGTGTTGATAATCTATTTGGTTTAGGATATTTACTGAGACGTTCATTTTATGATAAAAATATGAAAAATTCATTTAAACAATGTTGTTCAAAACGGTAGATTTTATTATTAAAAATAATTTCTTTTCAATCAAATATTTTTCTATAGAGTTTGGGATAAATGGTCATTTTCAGATTCATCATCATCATTTCTTATGCCAGATATTTCACGTGTATTTCGTCGACCTATTGATGGAAATCGAATTAATACGAAATATTTAGAAGTATTATTCAATCGTAAACGAAGAACAAGTTTGTAAGTTGTTTATCTTACATATTCTTTTTATTTAAAAATTGAATTTTTTATAGAAATCCATTTCCAGCATTATCAAATATCGATACACTTCGAAAAGAAAAATATGAAGCAAATTTAATTAAAATAATTAATTCTGCTACATTACTTAAATCATTAGAAAAATGTGATACAATCAATATTAATATGCATAATTTAATTCAAAATCAGAATAGGTAAGAAACAAAATTTTACATTTGAAAAAAAACAAAACTAATTTAATCTTTTTTTGTTTAGTTCTGATACATTTAAATTTATTTATCAACAAGAATCGGAAAATGATTTTACAACACTTACACCAATTCTTCCTTGTTTTGGTTTATTTCCAATAGAACCACTTGGTCTTTATCATGGTATTCTCCGTTTTACTTCAAATAAATATCATTTTTATCTTATTGGAACTAAATCGTCTTTATATAAAAGTATTTCAATTGCTACTTAAGATATTCTTTCATCTCATCACTGTGTCTCTCATATCTCTTTTTTTTGTTTTATATATACATATATATTTATTGATTATTAGTTGAACTCATTTTGAAAAGGATTATCGTATATTCTAGTCTATTTGTTAACATTTAATGAAACGAAAAAAAAAAAGTGCGCGCAATATTAACATATGACTGAACTATACTACATTCCATACAGATCTTTTTCTAATACTCGTGTTTGTGTTAATTGATGATGATAGAAGTTTTTAATTATTGCGCATGTGTCTTTGCTACGATTTATGATTATATTTTATTTTACTTACTTTTTTTTGTTATTCTGCTGTCGTTTTCTTTGTTTTTTTTTCTTTTAGTATATGGATGTTTGAAATAAAACGTAAAACATGTACTGATTGTGTAAAATATTGACTATTTGATTAGAAATCAACAGAGAATTGTTACATGCAACAAACAAGAATAAAATAATAGTCCAAATTGATTAACACTATCCAAGGATAATTAGTTTTTTATCCAACCAGAATCTTTAGTTTCTGTATGTACTTGTTATACTAAATTTGTTTCTCGGAATGAAATAAATAGATTTCTATTGGTGATAAAACGAATATACTTCAATTCAAGACATATTCTCGTTTGCTGACGGACATATATTATAAAAAACTATCAGAATAAACATTTTTTTTCCTTTAATAGTCTCATTTGTTACTTGACAACGAGTAATATATATGTATCAGACAGTTCAGAAAATAAAAAATTTGATGTATATGACATTTATTGATTAAAATAAAAATTTGCATTAGACTCATTGCCATGATTTTTATTTTTAATTTATGAAAATGAAATATGTAAAAAACAATGTCCGTTCTATTATTAGAAATGTCATTTTCTTTTCTTCGATGAAAGTCATCATGTCTGGCTATATTTTTATTTCCTTGGAGACTAACTTTTTTTTCTTCTAATAATTACTTTTAAATGAATAAAATTGAACGACAAGAAAAAGTATAATACTTAAACATGTTCTAATTTCAAAATATTGTCTCGAATTCTATTCCTTCTGTCTTGTAAAACTCTATGTATGTCCTGTGTGAATAATTCATCCAGTAAATAATAATCCAGGTACCATCATTCACAAGGACATAATTAGTTCTATTTTATGATTGTTAATAGTGAAATATTTTTTTTTTTGTTATAAATTGACATATAATAATATAGGAAAAGGTGTTAAAAAACTCTAATAAGAGTGCATAGGTGTATTTTTCTCATTGTTTTAGTAACAAGTTTTTTGAAGTAATCAGACAACATGCTTTGATTTTTTTTTATCTTCAAATTTCTTCTATTATTTTTTTTTCTTCAATTTTTAATGTTTAGTAAAATTTTTTTTTGAAGTGAATCTCTATGTTTATAAATATTGTTTTTTCTTTTTCTTCTCTTTTTCTTCTTTCATTTTGAATTGATACAATTTTATATTTGTTTATTTTGTGTTTGATGTCAAACAAAACGATTTGAAATCCGTCGCTGTTATATATAATGAACGAACAAATCGTTTAAAAATTGAAAAGAAACAAACGGAAAATAATTCACTTAAATACAGTAAGAAAAAAACGAAATGTTATTGTTTTTGTTGTTCGTCAAAATCTATGATAATCATCACTGATTTCATCTATCCTATGCCAAAAACATCATTAAAATTTCTGTAGTTTTTTTCTAGTTTAGCTAACTATACAAATTGATATGCGTTTAAAAACACTTTGTAGAGATCGTGCCCTTTTAGAACTCGAAGGTACGTAAATAATAAGTTTAAAAATATCTTATTCACATTTGAAATAACGCAATTGTGTTTTTTTTGTCAGGTGCTATTGTTAATGGAGATCAAATGAATTTGTCAAATAATGTATCAAAACCAATTCATCATCGATCAAATACATCATTTGCTTTTCCAACATCTTTCAATTCTGAAATATCTTATCCACACCTTACACCATCAGCGGATTCAATTCATGAAATGAGTAGTTATTCATTTCGAACAACTGATACTCTAACAGCATCACAAGCTTCAAATATGTCATCATATAGAAATCTGCAAGCAGCTTATCTTGATCGTGGTATTCGAGTACATTTAAGTCCAAGAAAAGCAATGTCAGCAAGACAAGCTAAATCCGAAAGACAACCTATTAATGATGCTCGCCCAAATACCGCATGTGTTAGACGAAATCCACGTAGATTGTCGAATACACTTCAAGATACAATTATCAATCAAGATCCTCATATTGAATCTTATAGTACATTACAACAAGAATCTGCAAATGATTTTGAACAAATTCATACACAAAATGGATCTAATGGTGAATTATCTTCTTCAATGGATGAAGATGATAATTACTATACAACATCGTTTATAACTAGCGAACATTATAATCCTTCAAAAAAATCTTTAACACATACTATAAAACCCACAACACCAATTGATGATAATGATCCTGATATTGTATATATGAGTACATTATTAAAAAAAGCACGTGTAGAATCTGGACGAGGTAATATCAAATGATAAATTTCTTTTCTCAAAACAAAAATTCTAAATTTATAGATACAATTCGTCGACATGGTCCTATACGAAAAACATTTAGTGCACGACCATATTCATTTGAAAATAAATCTGTTCAAGAAAAATCACCTATAAATAATACAAACTCATCAACACGAAATTTAACTGATACAACTATTCCTATCCTACCATCAAAAAAACTTGATCAAGATATTTTGAAACATGCATCACGTCTTCGACACGATCATTCAACAAAATCACATACCGGTCGTATTAATAGTGCATCATCTCGAGATAGTTCTGATACTCATAATAATAGACATAATTCACATCGTAAAATCTTAAAATCAAACAATCAAGTAATTAGATATATTATCATTTCTTTAAACATAAATTATTCTAGGAATCCGATGAACATCATCTTCATCCACCACGTGTAAAATCATTAACAGTCGATGATCTACCTTTAACTAAGACATTATCAATTACTCGTAATCTGAAAACTTCAACAAAACATATTAAATCAACGAATGAAAATGAATATACAAATTTTTCGTCAGTAGACGAACAATCAAATTCAAGTTCATCTTCAAATAAAGGAAATTTATCATTAATGCGAACATCTCCATTGGATATAATTCCTCAATCAAGTCTAATGGAATCAAGTTGGTATGATCAAAGTAATAGTGGTTCTGGTGATGGACAAAGTTTGTCATCTTCAAGTATGGTACACCTACCAGGTTCAATATTAGCAGGACAATTAACTCATTCCGCTACACGTCGCTCGCATAAGAAAGTTTCATTTTATGAAGAACCTCGAACAGTTATATTTCCAGCAACAACAACAACATTTGCATAAGAGAAAAATGAGATGATAAATAGTGTGCAATTAGAAATGACTAGTGTGAGAGCGTATTTATGTTTATAAATATCTTGTTTTTTTTCTATTTGAAATGACAAGAAAGAAAAAAAAACACATGAGTCTTTATACTAATAATGTCATTGGGCAAATGTTTATAACCATAGTTAAGCAACGCATACGAGTTTATATTAACAAGAATTTATAATTAACTAAAAGAAAAAGAAATTAAAAATACTATAATGAAAAAAAACATTTCAGTTGACTAACAATAAGAAGAAGTACACGTTCTTTTTAGCAAAAATACTAACACAACATAACTGACAGTTATGAGACGTAAGTTTTACAAATTAACTTTTCGAAATACATATATTACTGATTATAAGATAATCTTGATTCTGTTAAAGATACATGATCCGAGAAGATTATAATAGAGATTTACTACATTATATAGATTAAAAAAATAACTTGTCAAATTTTTTACTTTGTTTATTTCGATTTATTTTATTTTTTTGAAGAAAAATATAGTATCAATGTTTTTATTTGTTGTTGACGTATCTATGATATTCATACAAATAAAAAGGGTAAACAGAAAATTTATCAACAAAAAAAAAACTTAGATAATTTGTAAAAAATATTGAATCATTTTATTCTCGAAGGAACTTCATTTCGAACAAACAATTAAAGTAAGTAGCTATAAAAAATAGCAATTAGTATTCATGATAAAAAAAAATGATATTATAATGAGCACTTATAACTGATGGTGTATTAGTTGGAGTAAGAATGAAAATTTATAAATGTTGAGCTGACAAAAACATTCCCAGGTATTGTCATGCAGACAATGAATCTATAGACTCGATGAATAATTGCACCTGAGTTCTTAATTAGTTAAATGTAAATGTTTTCAGTTTTATTAATAAATGTTTCTTTTCGGTAGGTAGATCATCTGAACGACCTGATTCTGCTAATTCAATTCGTCGAAGTACACGACAACGTTTACATAATCCATCAAATCGTCGTGTTTATACAGTAGAAAATGGTTTAGATGCAAAAGAGTCTGTTTCAACAATAGATTCATCCAATCCACGAACTACACAAGAAACTCATATAAGACCATCATCAGAAACTAATGGTCATAATCAACAAATTTCTGCTACGAGTCCACTAAGACATTTAGTCATTAAAAACACACATGAAGCTGTTCAAGTAGGAGAATATTTTAAAATAAAATTATTTAATCTTTTTTGATATATGAAAAAAAAAGGTTCGTATTCGTTGTATATTTTTACGTGTCGGTGAAATCGATACATTAAATGAACGATATTATGCCGAGATTTTACTTCAAGCATCATGGGAAGATTTATCACTTAAAAGTCTACCAAATCAATTATTTGATCCAATTATACATTGGACGCCACAACTTGAATTAATGAATGGTATTGGTGATTTAAAAGATGAAATCGTATATACTGCTCGTTTTAATGAACAAGGTATAGCTACAATTACTGAACATCATAAATTAAAAGGTACATTATGGGAACGTATGGAATTGGAATATTTTCCTTTGGATACACAAAATTTATCTATTATAATAACAACATCACGCACAAGTAAAGAAGTAATATTTGTTAAAAATGTAAGCAAACCATCGGGTGTTAATCGACGTGTATTTACTGATGAACAAGAATGGGATTTATTTGAACATGTTGCTATTGAAATATCAGAACAAATTGATGAATATATTGATGATGGACATAATCATCCTGTTGTTGTTTGTTCATGTCATGCAGCACGGTTAGTTATAAAAACAAAAAAACGAATGAGAAAAATATTAATTCGATTTATTTTAGAAAATATGGTTATTTTATGTGGAATGCATATTTTCTTATTTTTCTCATAACATCAGCTAGTTTTACAACATTTCCAATTCCATTAGCAAAGTAAATTCTTATTTATATTTTATTTAATATTCTTATTTATAAATATAGCATCCAAGGACGTATACAAATTGCCTGCACACTACTTTTAACTTCGATTACATTTCGGTGGTTATGCAATAAAGCTTTACCGTATTGATATTTCTATTGTTTCTTTTCCTAGTTTTATGATCTTTTCTTTTTTCAGTACAATATCTTATTTAACAGCAGTTGATATATATGCTATAGGAAGTATAGCTTCACTTTGTCTTCTTAATATTTGTAAGTAAAATAATATATAAAAGTATTGTTTATAAAAAATATTTATTAGATCATGGTGTAATTGGATATGTTAATTATTATCTTTCAACAAATTTGCCAGATTCAACAGGTGCTGCAACAAACGTATCATATATAATTATTATCGATCGTTGGGCACTTGTTGTTTATACAATATTATTTTTTATTTATCAAATTTGTACATTTATTTGGATGTATTTAGTACCATTGAGAAAACGACGAATATTATATAAAAAAGATGAAGAATATCGTCTAACTCTTACATCAAGTTATCAAAATCCCAAAGCGACATTTGTTGATGTATTAAGACGAGTACATTCATCGTTGAGGAATGAACATCATGAATTATCCATGGTAACACATGCAAAGCCTTAAATATAATTATTCGATAAAATGAAAGAATTTTCTGGAAGGGTGTTCAAGGACTGAGGAATAAGACTTTCTTCGGTATTTAAAATTGACGAGGAATTCTTTTTACTCAGTTCTTGAGCATTGCTGATTCTGTCATATTTCATATCACACACAATTCAACATCTTTATACATTGACGCAAGTTATTTTTATTTCCTTCATATTTAATCAATATCAAAATTTTCTATTAAATAAACAAATAATATTAAAATGCACTCAAAAACAAACACACATGTAATTTAACAAAAAACAAACGTCAGTTGTAATCATAAAAAAACTACTTAAAATAATTACTATAAGTCCAAACAGAATATTTCGTCAACAAAAAAAAAAGAGAAAATTATTGCATATCAGATGTATACAAATGAGTAAAAAGAAGCAAATATCACTATTATGGATCAATATTGACAGAAAAGAGATATATAAAAAAAATTCCATCAAATCATGTGACTATATATTTTGTTTTTAAACTAAAATTGATTTCTCTTTGAGAATATTATCAAAAAATGGTATATAAACAATTAAATCTGGTTTTGAATAAAGAAATACTGAGAATATAACAAGAACTGCACCAAATGCAAATAATACTGTCATTTGAAAGTCAAATAATACCATACTAATAATACATGAGATTATAATAGCAGCTGATGTTGCAAAACCTTTTAATATATTATCAGCATGTTTAACAACTAATGCAACAAGAAGTCCACCGACGGATTGAACTGTAATTGTAATCCATACTAAATCTGTATAGGCAAATAGAAAGCCTTTTTTTTTTATTTCTGTTCCATCGGATAAGAGCATAGTTATATAACCAAAAAATATTCCAAAGACACCTAATTGAATATTTCTTATCCATACTGATACACCACTACCTTTAAGAATTTTTTCAAAATAAATACCAGCGAAACCACTTAATAGACCTAAACAATAATTTTATTTAATTGAAAAGAAACTTTCTAATCAAACTTACAAGCACCAACAACTGAAAATAATCCTGATATAGCATTAACATCTTGTTTTACCGTTCGTGATGTCATATTTTCGAGTTGAACAAGAGAAATACCAAGAAAAAGAAGAAATAATGCAAACCATTGAATAAGATTTAATTGACGACGAAGTATTAATACTGTAAAAATAGCTGTAGTGAAAATTTTCAATTGAAAACTAACCTAATAAAAACAACAATTCGATAATGTAAATAAATTTTATTAACATACTTGAAATGTAGCTGCATCTAAATATGAAATTGAAACAAATAACAGATTATTTTGTAATGTATAAAGGAATGCTGGAAAACCAGTTTTAATTGTATCTTTCCATTGACAAATTATTTGAGTATATATTAATTTGAAACCTTTGATAATACTTCGTTCTTCATTGATTAATAATAAAAAACTGAAAAGTGTTTTTTGAATTTCTGAATTAAATACAGCTGTTGAGTTTATAAAACGTGGTCCTGTTGTTGTACGTACATAACGTAATAATAATATACTGGTAACATTTTGTAAAGTTAACAGAAATAAACTAACATATTTCATATGAGATGATGTTGATGGAAGTGTCGGATTATTCGATAATAATTTAGTCTCTATAAAATTAAAGATAAA